TGTTGGCTGATGATGGCTATTCTAACAGGGTGAGGGTGAAATCTTAGCTGGTTTTAATTTGCATTCCCCTGTTATTCTAAGAGATGTTGAGCATTTTCAATGTGGTTTTTGCCTTGCATTTCTCTTTGAGAAATTCTGTTTCAGTTCACTTGCCCATTCTTTATTGGTTTCATTCAGTTTTTGGGAGAATTGTTTTGTTACAGTCCTTTGTCTTATGTATAGTTGGCAAATATTTTCTCCCACTCTGTGGGGTTCTCTTCAGTTTAGAGACCATTTCTTTTGATGAACAGAAGCTTTTTAGTTTTATGAGGTCCCATTTATCTATGCATCCTTAGTTGCTGTGCTGCTGGGTTTCATGAGAAATTCTTACCTATACCTACTAACCCAGATATTTCCTACTCTTTCCTGTATCAACTTAGAGTTTGGGTCTGATATTAAGATCCTTGATCCATTTTGAGTTAATCTTGGTAATAGGGTGATATACATGGCTCTAGTTTCAGTTTTTTGCAGACTGCTAACCAGTTTTCCCAGCAGTTTTGTTGAAGAGGCTGCCTATTTCTCCATTGTATATTTTAGCTCCTTTGTCAAAGATAAGTTGGTTCATAGTTGTGTGGCTTCATATCTGGGTCCTCTATTCTTTCCACTGGTCTTCCTGTCGTTGTGTGCCAGTACCATGCTGTTTTTATTGTTATTGCTTTGAATATAAGTTTGAAGTCAGGTATTGTGAACCTCCTGCATTGTTCTTTTGACTGATATTGCCTTGGCTATTCATGGCTCTTGTGTTTCCAATAAATTTCACAGTAGATTTTCAATCTCTTTAATGAATGTCATTGGAATTTTGATGGAATTGCATTAAACATGTAGATTACTTTTGGGAGTATCGAACATTTTACTATGTTGATTCTTACCAATCCATGAGCATGGAGATCTCTCCACTTTCTATAGTCTCCTCAATCTCTTTCTCAGAAGGTATAGTTTTCCTGTAGAGTCTTCACATCTTTTGTAGGTTTACACTAGGTATTTGATTTTGTTTGAGGCTATTGTAAATGGAATTGTTTTCATACATTCTTTTCCGTTTGCTCATTGTTAGTGTATATAAATGCTAATGATTTGTTCTATGTTGATTTATATCTGCTACCTTGCTATAGCTATTGAGATATCTAGAAGCTTCTGAGTTAGAGTTTTTGGGTCTTTAAGTATAGGATCATGTCGTCTGCAAATAGGATATTTTGACAGTTTCTTTACCTATTTGTATCTCTTTATCCCTTCTTCTTGCCTAATTGCCTCTGCTAGGAATTCCAGTACTATGTTGAATAGGAGTAGATAGTGGGCGCATCCTGGTTCCTATTTTAGAGGAATGGTTTAATTTTCTCCGCTTCAAGTATAATGCGGCTGATCTTGTCATATATAGCTTTTATAATGTGAGGAACTTCCTTCTATTCCTAGTTTCCTTAGAGCTTTATCATGAAATTGGTGTTGGATCTTATCAAAAGGCTTTTCTGCATCTATTGAGCATGATCACAGGGTTTTGGGTTCTTGCTTCTGTTAATGTGTTTATTACGTTTATTGATTTTCGTATGGAACCACCCCTGCATCCCTGGGATGAAGTCCTACTTGTCGTGGTGAATAATCTTTTTGATGTGTTGCTGAATCGTTTGCCATTATTTTGTTTGAGGATTTTGCATCAATTTCATTAAGGAGATTGGCTATAGTCTCCTTTTTGGAGTGTCTTTGCCTGGTTTTGGATAAGTGTAATACTGGCTTCATAAAATGTGTTAGGCAGTTTTCCTTCCTTCTTTTCTGGAACATTTTAAGGAGTTGTATCAGTTCTTTCTTGAAAGTCTGATAGAATTCAGCAGAGAATCCATCAGGTCTGGACTTTTCTTTTTGGGGAGACTCTGATTGCTGCTTCAATTCATTTTGTTATAGGTCATTCAGGTGATTAATTTCCTCTGTTCAGTTTGGTGATCATAGTATCTAGAAATCTGTCATTCTTTAGATTTTCAAATTTATTTGAATATAGGTTCTCGAAGTAGTCTCTGATGATTTCCTGGACTTCCATGGTATTTGTTGTTTATCTCCCCTTTTGCATTCCTAATTCTAGTGTCTTGGACCATGGCTTGGCCTGTGGACACCACTGTAGCCTAGCCACAGCACTGACATGGATGGGTGGCCAGTTTTGGCCTTTCATTGGGCTGGGGCCTCATGGCTCTCGGTGGGTATTGTCTTGGTTCCCCTGGTCACCTGAGGTTAATAGTGTCCTTCGCCTGCAGCTATCAGCTGGAGGCTCCTTCCCTAGAACCCATTTTCTCAAGTGTATTCCTGCTGGTAGGCACCAGTGCAACAAGAAGTGTAGGCTGTCTCTCACACACTCCCCTGAGGACAAGCAGGAAGACAGGCTTCTGAGCCAGGCAGTTGTGTGTCATGCCTTCGGTCACAAACCCTGGCTGACCAGGATGGAGTGCTCTGGGGACTCTGGCTACCAGAGTCCATGGTGAAGTGATGACGAGCCTGTGACAGCTGTCTAGATTGCCTATTGTAGCTATAGTGGGTTATTTCTTTCTATCATGGAGGGAGCCATGACTTTTTTCTTTTAGGAAAATTATGTTGAACCTTGATGTCTCCTACTGTCTCCAAAGCACTTTTTGTGAGCGACGGAGGAGCAGGCTTGCACTGGATCAGCAAGGAGCTTTCTGCAAGAATATCTAGCAAGACCATTTGCTATGTGGCCTGTTGAGCACCGCTTTCTGTCGTTACTCCACTTAAAATGTTAGTTTCTGTCTGTTTTCAGAGGAGCTTTTTTTGTTTCTCTTGTACTTTGTACCTGCTCTGCAGTGCTGCCTTTGAGATGTCACTTATATGCCCCTGACTGGCCCTGTCCAGGGCAAGTGTGATCCCACCACATTCTCCAGCAGCCCTTTGGATGGGGGCTGCCAGGCCCTAGCCCGAGTTACACATGGGAGATGAGAAGATAAAGGAGTGAGCCTTGCAGCCTGGATCCAGCCCAGGTTTGTGCCCTGTGCCTGCTGACTGTAGAGGGTGTGCTGAGAAGTGGTCAGTACTGCCTTCTGAGCCTTGACCTCTTAACCTGAAAATTGAAGGGCTGGACTGGACCCTTCCAGTTCTGAGTCCTTAACAGGTAGACCCAGAGGGTGTTCCCTGGGCAGCTTGGAGAACAGGATCTTGTCATTGTCACTGTGTGAATTGGAGACCAGTGCCATTGTTCCTTTGAGAGATGGAGCCTCCAGGTAGTAGAAGCCTGTCTGTTTTTTTTTTTTTTTCACCCCTATTACATTTTATTCTGCTCTCCTAAACAATTTTGAACAGGTTTCATCACTGTTTTCATACATTCATTTTTTTTCTTCATTTTCTTTTATTATTCATATGTGCATACAAGCTTGGTTCATTTCTCCCCCCTGCCCCCACCCCTCCCTTACCACCCACTCCACCCTCCCGCTCCCCCCCCCAATACCCAGCAGAAAACTATTTTGCCCTTATCTCTAATTTTGTGTAGAGAAGTATAAGCAATAATAGGAAGGAACAAGGGTTTTGCTGGTTGAGATAAGGATAGCTATACAGGGCATTGACTCACATTGATTCCTGTGCGTGGGTGTTACCTTCTAGGTTAATTCTTTTTGGTCTAACCTTTTCTCTAGTTCCTGGCCCCTTTTCCTATTGGCCTCAGTTGCTTTTAAGTATCTGCTTTAGTTTCTCTGCATTAAAGGCAACAAATGCTAGCTAATTTTTTAGGTGTCTTACCTATCCTCACCCTCCCTGTGTGCTCTCGCTTTTATCATGTGCTCATAGTCCAATCCCCTTGTTGTGTTTGCCCTTGATCTAATGTCCACATATGAGGGAGAACATACGATTTTTGGTCTTTTGGGCCAGAAGCCTGGCTGTTGTTCTGCTGCCTCCTGGGTGGAGACAGAGACTCATTCACTCACATCAAAGTATTTGTTGACTGTTGGTTAAGATGCCTGCCTTCATGCAGCTTAATTTCTTGTGAGGAAGGCAGAAGATGATCATGGTAAATAAAGAAATAAAAGAAAAATGTCATAGATTAGGGTGGTAATGTGCAAAAACATAAAGCAGGGAGGGCCAGGAAAGGCAGGGGGATGGTGTTAGGGTTTTTAATTATGGGGTAGGGAAGGTGACACAGGCCTAGAAGCAGGTAGAGAGCAGGAAGGGAGTGGGTTGAGATCGTGGAGAATGGCTTGTGCAAAGGCCCTGGTGGTACCTGGGGTGGTGCCAGGTCATGGGAGGAGCTGGAGGGTGGGTACCAGCTGTGTAAGGGTTCAGAGTCTATGGGGCAGCCCTGACATTGAGAGGGATCATTTGGCTGGTGCACTCAGGCTAGATGGGACTGTTAGGAGCTACCACCACCATCAAGGGGACGGAAGCCCTGTCCAGGGAATGGTGGGGCAGAACAGTACTGGATTTCTGCAGATTCCGAAGATGGAGCCAGCTTGTATGTATGTGGGAGCAAGTGATGAAGGGACCAAGATGCTGTAACCTTCAGCCTAAGCAGCTGAGGACTGTGGCTGTCAACTAGATGGGAAGGCTTTGGGGATGATCACAGCAATTCTGATTCCGTGCATCAGGGGACCCACATTGGTCTCTGATTCTCTTGCTCTAAAAGGTATTGAGAGCTTCCTAGAACTTATGTAGCAGTGTGGGGCCGCCCAAGGCCGGTGTGCCACTTGGAGGTGCAGATGCAAGGAGCAGAGTGAGTCTGTATGGGACAGATGTTAGCAGGACCTCTGGTCTAACTCCTGTCCTTGCTCTCTAGTCAGTACCGTCTCATCTCTCTCGTCTCAGATATGGAATTTGTGTTTCCTTTATGCCATCTCAAGGATCAGGAAGAGAAAGTCCTTACTGAGTCAGGCGATCAGGGCTGGGC